CATGCCTTCAGATACACGGGTTATGTATAAGTTTTAAATGTAAAATTGATTGTGTTTTTTTGCTGTAAATTCTGTGAGATTAATATCAATGCCTGTATTAATACCTCAATGATCCTGATGATTTTGGGTAAACTCGAAAACCCGCCCTCTTTTAGATCAATCAATATGTTTGACGGCTTAGAGGCCAACGAGTTATCGTCGGCGAACTCATTCACCACAAGAACCTAACATTGGTTTTAGTTAATAGATGACAATTGGTTTAAAATATAGTGTTTTTGCGATCAATAATTTGTTGTTTAGATATTTCTATATTTAGATTTATGGCAAATATACGGCACCTCTTCTTCGGACAACTCATTGTCCTCCGAGATGTCTCGGCTCTCCTGAAGCCAATTGAGTTTCGCCTCTCGATTCTTAACCGTTTCAAACTTGGCGTCGCCTACGAGTGACCGACGGCGCGATGGGTAGCCGTGCTGTCAATCAATCAATTTTTACATACATTTAATTTATATAATTTGTATATTTTTGGAAATTTTTGTCTAGTTTTAAATGTGGAAATTTTCTAATCATTTTTGAGACAAGTTTTATGTTTTATATTAAGTAAATGAAAAAACCTTTTCATTTACTAAATGCTTGTATTGTGTAAAGAAAAGAGTCGTTTAATAGAGTAGTAAAATCAGGCGATCATTAATAACTTGTGATCCTTTGGCTAACATTTTCTTACATACATGTGTTCACTCATACGACACAAATGAGCCCTTTCTTCAGACAACGACCACCTGTTTTGGACATTACATACATTTATATATTTAACTCTATGTGGAAAAACAACTGATAGACTAATAGTTGGTTCGCTGTAATTAAATAGTGAATTAAAAAACAACAACAAAAATCTCAATTAGGGATGAGAAGGAAGGAAAGGCATCTCTCTTTCCCACCGCAATGTGCAACTGATTGGCATTAAAGTGCCGTTCAATCCATACTTTTCTATGCCATACCATAGAGAGTACGGAGAGCTGACTGACTGTTGCGTTAGGCCTTTGATGTCATAATTAGGTGATTGAAAGCAAGCGATGCAATAAAATTATTTGCCATTTAAAGGCTTTACTGTATTATTATTACATGAGAGAGAGAGAGAGAGAGAGCGAGAGAGAGAGCGAGAGAGAGAGAGAGAGAGAGAGAGAGAGATCATCACATTGTGATATAAATAATCTTTTCACTTTCATCTCTAATTGAGATTTTTGTTGTTGTTTTTTAATTCACTATTTAATTACAGCGAACCGACTATTAGTCTATCAGTTGTTTTTCCACATAGAGTTAAATATATAAATGTATGTAATGTCCAAAACAGGTGGTCGTTGTCTGAAGAAAGGGCTCATTTGTGTCGTATGAGTGAACACATGTATGTAAGAAAATGTTAGCCAAAGGATCACAAGTTATTAATGATCGCCTGATTTTACTACTCTATTAAACGACTCTTTTCTTTACACAATACAAGCATTTAGTAAATGAAAAGGTTTTTTCATTTACTTAATATAAAACATAAAACTTGTCTCAAAAATGATTAGAAAATTTCCACATTTAAAACTAGACAAAAATTTCCAAAAATATACAAATTATATAAATTAAATGTATGTAAAAATTGATTGATTGACAGCACGGCTACCCATCGCGCCGTCGGTCACTCGTAGGCGACGCCAAGTTTGAAACGGTTAAGAATCGAGAGGCGAAACTCAATTGGCTTCAGGAGAGCCGAGACATCTCGGAGGACAATGAGTTGTCCGAAGAAGAGGTGCCGTATATTTGCCATAAATCTAAATATAGAAATATCTAAACAACAAATTATTGATTGCAAAACACTGTATTTTAAACCAATTGTTATCTATTAACTAAAACCAATGTTAGGTTCTTGTGGTGAATGAGTTCGCCGACGATAACTCGTTGGCCTCTAAGCCGTCAAACATATTGATTGATCTAAAAGAGGGCGGGTTTTCGAGTTTACCCAAAATCATCAGGATCATTGAGGTATTAATACAGGCATCGATATTAACCTCACAGAATTTACAGCAAAAAAACACAATCAATTTTACATTTAAAACTTATACATAACCCGTGTATCTGAAGGCATGTAAAGGCAATATCGAGCACTTGGAGAGCCGCAAGAGTATGGACTCGGAGGCGGCGGTGGCCGCGAAGGCATCGGCGGTGGATCTATTCATGAGTGTTCACATCTCAAGCAATGGTTTATTGCATTTGATTAAATCCGTGCGACAAAACAGTTTGGCTGAAGTGACTCTACTCAGGGAAAAACATATTAGCGTTAAGGGTATTTCATTACACAATATTCTATGCTTAAGTATATAACCTATATTTCCCGCACGTATACTGTACTCCAATTGCTATTTGCTTATTAAATGCATAAAAACATTTAGAGAGAGAGAGAGAGAGAGAGAGAGAGAGAGAGAGAGAATGTGTTTGCCTTTTAATTGATGGTAAATTTATGACACAATTAGATCCGTGGTTTCCCAG